CTGTAGGATCCAGTTGCTCTGGGATCTGGTCACTAACGAGCCATCTCCTCTCCAGGCTGCTGGCTGGCCGGGCACAGTGGGGTGTGGGGAGGTGAGTATCAGTTTGTGGGGAGGACAATAACATCAAGGACGGGGGAGGGGATAAGTGGGATGGAGAAAAGAGGAACTGAGCCCTGAACCTTCCCCCAAACTCAACCCAAACTCCCCCCATGAGCTCAGACCCGGCCCCGTTCTTCTGTGAACCTTCCCCGTCCCGGCCCCACTGGGGAATAACTAGGAGCTGAATCTGGCTCGTGGGGTCTGACGAAGCAGATGGGAACCATCCTCTAGTTTAATGTCCTGCCCCCACCCCCCGCCCCCAGGCTGTGAGGATCGGGGTCGGGGGTGGGGGCAACACATGGATTTATTTCAGCTCATACAAACGTTAACAGGGCCCATCCATGGGCTCTAGATCCCCTTGGGGAACCGAAACGTTCACGGTCAGTGCAGCCGCAGGCAGAACCCCCAGATCCTCCCCTGCCCCGAGATCCACCCCAACACCTCCCTCCCCTGCACTCACAGCCCCACCCCCCGATCCCATGACCTGGGGAATGGTGGGTCTTGTGAGACTCCTGCCAGTCACAGACTCTATTTCCAACCCTGGGGTGGGGGGCAGAGCTGCAGGGGGGCACTGGTTAGGCTCCCTGGCTGGCCTCAGGCTGGGCCGGGGGGGGCAGGGGATCTCTCCTGCAGCCGGGTCCTGAGCTATGTCTGGGTGAACCCCCTGCCCCCAAACCCCATGGGCCGCAGTGTCAGCCCTGGTAGGGGACAGACTCCTAGAGAGGCCGAATGACGGATGGACTGAATTGGGGCGGGGGGAGGTGGGGGCTGTGTCTCCCTGTTTAACTCCTGTCTCTTGTTCAAAACAGGGCGAGAATTTCCCAAACCCACCGTCTCGGTGAGCCCCAGCAGCGTGGTGGCGCTCGGGGGAAGCGTCACCATCCGCTGTGAGGGTTTGTACCGGGACATGGAGTTCTTCCTGCGTAAAGCTGGACAACCGAACCCGCAGAGGCAGACGGTGCCTGATGGGACCGTGGCTGAATTTCCCATCCCCAGTGTCAGCCGGGAAGATGGAGGGAGCTACACCTGCGACTATCGCTCCATAACGGATCAGAGTCGCACATCGCATCCCAGCGACTCCGTCGAGATCATTGTAGGAGGTGAGGGAGGGGCCCGGCTCAGTGTCCCGGCTCCCAGCCTCACACCCAGCCAGACCCACAGGGGGTCTCTGCATGATGGGACACTCAGAGCCAGGCTCTGCCCTGATCCCTGGGCCCAGCAGAGGGGACGCCCAGCCGGGGAGTGGGGACAGAGTCACTGGGGGTTCCCCAGCCAGGGGGGAGAAGCAGCCACTGGAGATTTGGGGCAGAGGAAGGCCGGGGGCTGGGACTGGGGGCTGGGGTTGGCCTGGCCTAGCACAGGGCTGGGGTCACCCGGGCCGGCCAGTGCAGCTGGAGCTGCTCAGCATCGCACGGCTGGAACTGGAGTCGGTTGGCTGGCTGGGGCTGAGCTGGGCTTGGGGCTGTGCCGGGGGTCTTCTGGACGTGGGGATGGGGGGCTGGCTCGGGGTTCTGGCCAGCCGGGGTTTCTCCGGCCAGGGGAGGGGGTGGTGAGAGGCACTCAGGGCTCCTGCATTGGGAAGTGGGGCTTTGTGCATCACGGTGGAGTTGCAGGGCTAGCCTCCCGGAAAGGGGGTCCACACACCGCTCATGGGGGATGGAGTCACTGGGGGGAGCAGCAGCCACTGGAGATTGGGGGAGGGGGGATCCCTGTCTCTGGGGGAGCTGCGGAGCAGGAGACCTTTCCCAGGGGGATTCTCCTCATCTTGGGGGATGCACAGAGGGCTTGGGGCCCAGGGGCTGCTTAGCCGGCCATGGCCCCTCCGG